TCATATCCACACCTGACAAGAGGCTAAGCTCTTTCCTTGAACATTTCCTCTATGAACAATACAATCCCATTCCGCGCCATCTCTGTGGACTTCATGTATTCATCTGCTTACATTCCTTTGTCCTCTTCTAATGGACACAAGAGGACAGAAAGAATTCAAGAAACAAGTGCTGGTAAGCTTACTGTAAAATCCCACATGCTTACGTGGCTGTGGAGATCACCAAAGAGTGGAATATGGAGTAAAACATGGAGTCAATGCAGAGCATTAAAGCTCAGCAATGAATGCATCAGAAAAGATTCACTTTCTAATTCAGGGTAATAAATGCTAAATAGATGGTACAGACACTAGGTGAGATTTTCACTGTGTTTTCAAGGACAGGTTGGACCTGAGTTAGTGACGGTTCTTTCAATTGCTTAAAACAAACTGAATTATTCAGGAGTTGTCCTGGGCTTCAGGCATGGCTGGAGTCGTGGAGGTTCTACAGCTTCAATTTGTTTCTCATTCTCTGTCACTTGGTACATCGTTCCTTTGCACTGGCTTTAGTCTGAGATTGACTAAAACCACGTGGTAGCCCTAGTAGCTCCAGAATTATATCCTTTTACCCAACACAAAGACAACTTGGTGTGCTAGTAAATGCCTGTAAGGCTGAGGCAGGAGGATCTCAAGGTCAAGGACAGCATGGTCTATATTTCTAGTTTATGGCAAGCCTGGACTACATAGTGAGACCCTATTTTAAACTAAAACCAAAACCAAAACAACAAAGATAACTTTTTCCCCATGGTTCTAAACAAATTCCTGTGATTTTTCCTGACCGGATCAATTTATATCACTGTTTCATCCCTGAGTTCTGATCTGTAGCCAGGAGGATGGAATTTATTGATTCACTAGATTTGTGTTATATGTCCACTCCTGTGTGGGTTGTGTGGGTGTGTGGTTACCAGAAAAATAACAACAACCATCATCACAACAAATGTTCCATAATAGTGAACTCATCATGTACCAGGTACTATTCTAAACTACTTTCACAGGTTACTCATTTCTACCTCCTAACATCCCTGGAGGTAAGTAATCTTTTTTTTTTTTTTTTTCAATACTGGAGATTGAACCCAGGGCCTTCACACTGAGCTACGTTCCCATCCTTTTCTTATTTTTTATTTTGAGACAGGATCCAGCTAGTCACTGAAGTGCCCAAACTGAGCTTAAATTTGGGATCCTCCTGCCTCAGCCTCCTAGAGTGCTGGAATTACAAGTGGAGCCACCTGGTAGGTAATATTACCTCCGATCCTGAGGCAGCATTGAGACATGGAGTAGTGAAGTGATTTGCCACATGGCTAGCAAATGGTAGACCAGGGAGTTGAACCAGGGTATCAGACTGCCCCATCCAGGGTCCGACTGCTGTGGTCTCCTTACCTGATTTCTATCCATGCAGAGACCTAGATGATGCACTGACTCAGAAGTGAGAAAATATACTGGGAAAACCCGAAGAAGACCAGCAAATTGCAGCACGGAAACCACATCCCCAAAGCTGGCAGCCAGGTGCTGTTTACCTTCACACCAGGTCAAATTTGGACCATACCCAGGCAGCCACTGACTGATCCTGGAGGGGGAACAAAAGGGTCACCACAAAAAAGTGAATCTGGACCCAGAGGCTACCTCAGCCCTGTTCTCTTGACAGCTTTATGGGTTGCGATTTTATAGAATTTACTCAGGACTGATTTCATATCTATGCTGGTCTTCATTTTCTCTTTCCTGCTTTGAATCATCATTCATGGAATACACATAGATCTTAGATTAATAGTGCATTTATACACACACACTCAGACATGCTTGGCCTGCTTGTCACGAAAAGTGGCAGACCCAGGCGGAAGTATGCACTGCGTGTCACCTAAAGCAAAGCAAAGCTGCTCAACAGAGAAAGTACCACAAAGCGCTACAGCAACAACACAGGTGCTGCAGAAAAGAAGTGGACACATCAGCAAGAGTTTTCTTCCCTCTGAGGTAGACTGTATTCTTTTTTATTATTATTAAAATGGGAGTTAACTTGAATAAATAATATCCAGCCTGTAGGCTTCAGAAAACTAACACTTTTTGACAGTTTCATTTCTCTGAGCCCTGGAAGCACTATGGGACCTAACTTGGGTCCTCATAATGACTTCCCTTCATGGCGGGGGAGCACAGTGTTCTCTTCATCTTGGCCTTTTTTTTTTTTTTTTTTTGGTACCAGGGATCGAACTCAGGACCTTGTGCTTGTAAGGCAGGTGGTGGAACCACTGAGCTAAATCCCTGGCCCTCTTCATCTTGGTTTTATTGATTTCCCCTCATTTCCTCCCACATTCTGTCTGCCAGCCACTACTGTGTCTATGCCTGCTCTGCACACACTGTGAGGTCAGTGGAAATTGTTGCTCCTCCTGGCCCTCTGGCTGTGTGTCCCAGGCACCACTGCCTTTGTGTATCACCCTTGATACCAATCTCTCCTACTAGGGTCATTGACAAGAGGATGAAGCGAAGTCCCTAGACTCTGCACCAGGTCAGGACTAACCCTAACCCTAACCCTAACCCTAACCACAAGTACAGTGTTTTATAACATGAGGAAAAGCATTAATAACAGGTGTTTTTACCCTTGTAATTGTCCACTTTTTTCCATTCTTAAGAGTTCTAGGAAGTTTTTCCAAAACTGCAGAAACTTTAATTCAAAAAAGTTGTTATAATTCAAGAGGTTTTCAGAACTTCTTATTTATGAGTAAGATTTGGAAACTCATAACTTCAAAATTTTAAGTTTATGAGACAGGGCCGGGAATTTAGCTCAGTGGTTTTGCCACCTGCTGCGCAAGCTCAAGAGCCTGAGTTCGATCCCTGGTACCAAAAAAAAAAAAAAAGTTTATGAGACAAAAGGTATGTTGGTGTGCACAATGGAGATTCACAGAATCATACACCAAACTGTGCCCACGCATAGATTTGTGTTCCAAACAAGTTTGAGCAGGACCCAGAACTGATGGCGGCACCAGGTCACGGACAAGACTGCCGGACCTCTGCAATGAGAGACCTTGGGTGCCTGTTAAGGAGATGGACACTGCCCCCCACCAACCCCAGTGAGATGTTGGCCATTCAGGATTCCATGCTTGTAGTGCAACTTAAATTGAAAGTGGCTGTCATTGGGGAAACTGAATTGAGTAGTAACTTTCCACTGGTATTTATTTTTTCCTCTCTCATTTTTTATTTGATAGTTTCAGAGATTTTTGTTATTTTTATCACTTTCCTCAGTTTTTGTCTCTATTGCAATGCCCGAACACTCTCATTGGCTTTGTATGGGACAAACAGGAGGCACTACTTCTGGCAGAATAGGATTTTCTGTCCTGCTGATTGATGGATTAATTTTTATTGAGCACAGGGTGCTGCCAGCAGAACCAAAAATCCAAGATTCAATTCCAGCTCTAGGAGTTTATGTTCAAATGAAAAGACAGACAACACAGTCAAACCTTCCAATTTCTTTTGTATTCTATTCTTTTAAAAACCAGTATTCCATTCTATGTCTCTCCTTTAAGATGAATCTACGCAAGCAAAAAGTGGATATTGAAACAACAGAACAGATAATTTAGGGGCAAAATTAGAGCTCAATGGACCAGACAGCCTTGTGGGGGCAATGGCTTTATTGAAAGAGTTTTAGTCATCATGTTGACTGAATGGATATTCAGTGCTGGACATCAAAAGAGTTAAACATTTTCCCAGACTTTCTGGCTCTATCCTTGTGTAATGTCAGATTAAATAGTCTCATTCTTGGGTTATGTAGTAGTTTGACCTCACATAGAAATCCCTTCACTAAAATACAACTTACTACTCTATACCTTAATTTCATGAAGGTTTAATGATTTTTAAATAATAATTGTCCCTCCATGTCTGTGTTACTGTGACATAAGGATCCATAGGATCATTTTTTTCTCAATATATCAGTATCCAAGGGCAGTTTCCCTTCTTTAATTATCCTCTTTTCTTTTGTCAAACACTGAATGCTAAGTAAACATAATAGGTGTTTTCCCATTTGCTCAAAACTAATTTTACTGCCAAAATGAAATAATTGTTTCATTTCTGGATCAGTGACAATTTTCTGAGCCACCAGTTACTCATCTGTAAAATGAAGAGTATCAGAGATGATAACTTTAAGATTCCTTCCAGCTTTGAGCCAGCCCTCACTCACACACACACACACACACACACACACACACACACACACACAGAGGCACGCTGTTTCTGTATGATTCCTGATCTCATTCTGTCCTTGTTTGCTCAGGTTTACTCCTGGTTGCTAGTGCACGAAAGGGGATAGTAAATATATTTTAAATAAATAAATTACCTTCCTTTCCTAGCCACTTGTGTTTTGCTTTATGATGTCACAAAGACTCCGTTGGAAGGAAGAAGTGTTATAAATTCATAACATTGTTGCATATTAATTCTTATCTCATATTTAAATTCTTGCCTTTATTTTGTTGTGTGGCTATAGCTAAAATGCTGCTGTTTCTTTCTCCCTTTTCCTTTTTTTTCTTGGTGAATCCATTCTCTTGTGTACTTTTTCATTAAGGGGCTCAATTAAGAAATAAATAAAATATAGAACACAAAACAGAGCTTGGCCTGGTCAGAAAAGAACAAAGCGTCCTGGCGCCCGTCAAGGCCACCAAACCTTCCAGCCCGCAGCAGCTCTAACACACTGAGGGAGCAAAGCTCCTTGCTCTGTAGGCTAAAAAAATGTTAACCTGTAGCCCAAATAATGGGTCTGAGCCCGAAGAGCTGGGCAGAATGGTCCAAGCCCCGGCCCCTTTGCCTCGTAGGTGGGAATTGTTGACCCCAGGAGTCTGCGGCTAGGGTAAGGTCAAAATAACCTTTCACAAGGTTAAATGTGCTGGTTTCCTTTCTTTCTTTCTTTCTTCTTTCTTCCCTCCTTCCTTCCTTCCTTTCTTTTTTTTTTTTTCCTGTGGAGTCAGGGACTTTTCTCTAAACGTAAAACTTACCTAGATTGTAGACAGGTAGACGTCAGGGAGTTACCGGGTGTGATCAAGGGGAGATGGCGAGAGACAGTAAGCGCAAGCGGGAGGCAGGCTCACCGGTGAGCTGGGTTCCCCCTGGAAACCTGAACCGCCACCTAGTCCTGCCTTCTAGCGCATTTGATGGGCAACACTGCCCTCTAGTGGCCAATCTGGAAGAACACATGCTCCAATTCAATCCCCTTAAAATTTAGGGCCATTTTTTATTTGGGATTTTGTGTACAGCTTTAATATTACCTTCTTTTAAATGTCAAAATGAAGAAAAAGATATTTTACTCAAATGGATATATCTCGCTATAAACACTTCACTCCTTTCTCCTCTCTCCCTAACCTGTTTTGTTTTGCTTTCAGTAATGTCTCCTACTTCTGCATAGTTTGGGGGCCTCTTTTTCTGGGGGTGATTTGTCACTCATTCTCCACCTCAGGCACTGGTTGCCTGAAGGAACCACTGGGAAATGTAGGGAGTGGACAATGGCCGTCACTCTCTCCCTTTGACGGGCAGCCTCCCTCCTTCACTTCTCCACCGCGCTGCCTCTTTCACGGCAGTTCACCCAGCTGGAAGGCACCTCCATGAAGGGCAGCGCCACTGAATTTCCACTCTCGTGGTGTCAGTCCCAGCACTGTATCCTGGCTTCATCCAGCTCGTCACTCTTGAAAATCTTCCTGTTATTTACTGTCTCTTTCTTCACAATTTAAGCCTCATAATGGCAGGGATCTCTTCTATGTTTTTTAATGTTTTATCTGCAAACACCAGAAATGTTGCATGTGCTTTGTATACAGTAGGCGCTATTTTGCATGCTTGAATGAATGCTTTTCATTAGTTAACTGATTGTACCAATTTGATTGAGAAATGCCCAACTGGATTGAATCAATATAGTTTTGGATGTGGCTGAGGGGATTTACTAAAAACAGAAGACCTCCCCTGGGTAGGCTTGTCGCCTGAATGAAATAAAAGGGAAACAAAGGAAGATTCACTCCTGTTTCTTCGGGGGAGCTCCAGTCTTCTGCTTCACCTTGGGCATCATCTCCTGACTTCCAGTGCAAACTCTTCAGCCTCCAGCACAGAACCATCATCAGTCTTCCATCATAGATCTTGGGTCTCCTGCTACTGACTTGGCACAGGACTCTACACTGAGCTGCAGGCCTTCAACTGGATCCTTCAGATTGCCAATGCACAGACAAGCCTTTTGCACTTTTCCACAACTGACTCTACAGTTGGCCATTGTAAGCCAACCTTGTAAATTCGTATATATTTGTATATCTTGCATTAAACATGTTTCTGTAGTAAGCACTGACTGATACAGATTTTAGTGCCACAGAAGTGGGGTTGTTGCTGTAACACTACCTGGCCATGTGGCTCAGGAACCTTTGGAAATGACTTGTGGGAAGAATTTGGAAAGTTTGGGAAATATCAGCTGAAGAAGCAGCCCTGGAATGCTGTAAACTGAACTTGATAGAAGATTCTGGTCAGAGCTCAGAAGACCAGAATGCTGATAAAAATGCAGCCAGTAGAGACCAGGCTTAGGAGGTTTCGGTAAGGAACAAGGACTGCACTGGCTGTTGGACTCCAGATCATGTGGGTTATGCTTTGGTAGAAAATTTGTCTGCATTTTGCTCATGTCCAAGACTTTGTCTGAGATGGAGATTAAGGCCACTGGATTAATTAATCTAACAGAAGAAATTTCAAAGCAGTCTTATGTTGAAGTGGTGGCATGGCTACTGTTGGGGCTTTTAGCTAGATCTGTGTTGAAAATCAAGAGCAAAACCCACAACAGAATGATTTTTAAAGTTTTGAGTTTAGCAAGAAAGAAAGCTCCAGTAAAGCTGTGGCTTACAAAGGAAGAATAGAGGAGAAACTGATTGCTAAAAAGACTAGCAATAGAAAGCCAAGTATTTTAGAAGACAATAGAAAAAATGGCCTGAGGACATCACAAGAAACAGCAGGACTCTAGCCTTTGCACTCTCAAAACTGCAAAAGTGAAAGAGTCCCAGACCACCATGTTCCAAGAATGACTGGAGCCTAGGAAACTTGTTCCTCAGGATTTGATTCATAGTGCTCAGCAATCCAGGCACTCAACCCTACAAGAAAGAGAGGAAGGAAACTAGCTACTGCTCCAGCTGGTGGCAGACACTGACATCATCCATGTGGTGCTGGTGTTAGGTATATGCAGAATGCAGGAGTTGTGGGGTCCGGAAGGCTTGCACCCAGATTTCAGAAGAGGCCTGGGAGGGCAGGCAGGGTGCTCCTGAGAGGACAGTGTGTGAAACTGTGAGTGTGAAGCCAAAGATACAGTGGAGACCCCAGAAGGTTGGAGAAGCCAGGGATCTGGATCATCTGAGGAAAGTTGCAAGGAGTGAGGAAAGCCAGCCCAATAGAGAAGCTACAAGAGCTACAACAACAAGAAGTGCCATATGGGAGCAGAGCCATGCAAGCCATTTGGAGTTCACATATGGCCACTGATTGCCCTGGATAATGGACATAGAACTGCAGGACTTCATGCTTGCCCTGCTGTATTTTGGACTTGCTTTGGTCCCACTCTTTCTGTCCGCCTATTTGTATCTTTTGGAATAGGAATGTTTATCTTGTGCCTTTGTATGTTAGAAGTATTTAAGTTTCTTTTCGTTTGTACGGAGGCTTGAAGCTAAGAGTTTGCCTTAAATCTCAGAGGACACTTAGGACTCGGACTTTTCAGCAATGCTGAAACTGTTAGGACTTTTGTAACTCTTGCAGATGGACTGAAAGCCTTTTGGATAAAGAAACGTGCATAAGACTTTCAGGGCCCAGAGAGAGAAAGTTATAGCTTGTCTGTAGATGTCCCCCAAGGCCTCATGTGCTCAGAGGTGGGGGGTTTTAGAGCTGGCTGGATCTAGGGCATGTGATACTGACATTAAGGATGTGTGTTTCTGAATTAGTCCATTCATTTAAATTAGCATAGTTCTAGGTGGCACCACCAAAAGGCTGGTACCCTGGATGGAATAAAAGGGAAAGGTAGGCTGGCTGCTATAGCTGCTGCTCACTGCCTTCTGCTTGCCATGCCATGGATTGTTTCTCCTCTGCTGTGATCCTCTGCATGCCACCCTGCTTTAAAACCAGCTGACTTTGGACTGAAACCTCTACAACCTGGGAGATGAAACAAACCTTTCTTCCTTTAACTTTGAATATATAATATTTTGTCTCAGCAATGAGAAAAGTAACTAAGACAGCCTTCCAAGAGAAAAAAATTTTTTTTGTCTAACACAATTTCCAGTATTAGAAAATGGGTCATGGACATATGTGCAGAATTCCACTAGGGATCCATAAGGTGCAAAATCATGCCCATGCATCAGTAGAAGTAGCAGACTAAGATTGTAAATTCCCTATATAGGTTTAATCTAATGTCTAAAAGTAGGATTATAAATGTTTCTCCTTTCTGTTCAGCAAAAGGTCCTATTGCATATAAGTACAGTCTTCTAGAGCAACAGAAATATACAGAGAAGAAATGACAAAGAAAAAGGTGACTTAAAATTATCAGTCTTGCTAATAAATAAATAAATGTCAATTGGTAGTTTAACTAAATGGATTTAATAAGAGGCACACTTATGTATACATACCACTATACTTGGAAAGTGTTTAGGCGTTGTACCCTTTTTGGTGATACCAATAATACATAACACCAGGATACTTCAGTGACCACAGTATCTGCCTGCATTTCAAAGTCTCCTTGATTTAATGACAAGATGATTTTTAAAAATCTATTTCAATAGCCTACTCAGATTGGGGTTGTTTTTGTTTCCTTTTTCCTTGCTTTCCTCATATAAAATATAATATGACACCACTTGTGCACACTTTAAAAATTTTAAACTGTTCTGGTTAAAATCACATTAGGGACCCAGTGTCCTGCCCACTGGGCCTCCTCCTCCATTCTGTTCTCCCCTTCCTATCCTACTCCACCTAATATTAACTCTGACTAAAGACAGCTTAGAAAAAGTCAACGTGTGACTTCCTAAGCACATGTCAGACTTGTGCTCAGTCAGTAAACATTTGTGGGTTGTATTCTTACCATGTGTCGGGCTACACTAAATATAGGGCATATTCATGAAGCAGAAAGGGCTCCTCCCATCACAGAGGCTGATGTAGAGAGAGAATTGATAAATAACACACAGTTATAGAACAACGTGCCAAATTTGATGATAGGGTAGATACTGAGAGCACACGAAGGAAGCGCCCCCTGCAGGAGCTTGATGAATCAGGGAAGGCTTATGAAGGTGGTAATATAAACACAGACCCGTGAATAGCTTGTACAGCAGTTTTGTGACCAAGATAACAGTACACACAGGCCTCTGGTGGGACAGAACATGGCTCACCTGAAGACCAGAAGGAAATTCTGTCCCAGGGGAGCATTAGGTGTATGGAGACAGAACAGGGAGGGGAAGGGAGAGAGGCAGAGATGAGCAAAGTCTACCTCATAGAGTGTCATGCATCATTGCAGAGGTTGAACTTCAGCTTGAGGGCAATGCAAAGCTGTTGCAAGATTGTAATCAGGGAAATGATGTGATCCATTTAGCTGTAGTGTGGAGAGTGGCAGCAAGACTGATCAATGAGATCAATAAGGAGAATGTTGCAGTCATGGAGATGAGAGACGATGGTGGTCTGAATTAGGAAATGCCATTGAAGTGGAGAAAATGGATGCATTCAGGAGATGCTCGGGAGATAGAATCAACAAGACTTGCTTGATTGAATATGGGGGATGCAGGTGAGGGGAAGAAAAGGGTGATGCACAGGATTATGGCTTAAACCACTAGATGAGTGGTGGACCCATCACCAAAGAAGCCATACTAATATAGCCAGAAATATAGCTTTATTTTGGACACTATTGTAGGGCAATCTGTGGGGCAAGTAAGTGAAAATAATCAGGTGCCCTTGTGTATATGGATTTGAAGCTCAGAAAAGCTATGGGCTAATTATAAAAATTCAGGAATCATGAGCATGCATGGGAAGTGGTACTTGAATACATGGACATGCCTAAAATTTCCAGAAGACTTTGTAGAGAGAGAAAGGAAGGATCTAAAATAGGACCTTACCAGGCAACACATGTAACCAGCAAGCAAAAGGTGGGAG